ATATACCAAACATACAGGGTGGTCAGAATTGCATTCGAGAAACTTCGGCAGCATATTCTGCAGAAAAAAATAAGTAAACAAGTTCGTATAAATGTATGACCTAAAATGCTTCGTTTCGGAGATACAGGGTGCAGAAATTTCATTTTTATTTCGGGGTTTTCCAAATAATTTCTGAACTAGAATTTTAGAACTTAGAATGAGTGGGAGGGTGCTTACAGATCTATTGTGTCCCCCTTTCTTGAGTTATAACGCATCATACAGTCCCCCCCCCCTGAACTAACAGTGTCGATATTTGGATAAAAAAGGCGTCGATCGATAAATTTGATTTCTAAGTCAATATGAGTCCTATTTGTAGGGGGCGCCACCAACATGTGTTTTTTACGTATTTTTAAACTATTTTGAATAGTAACAACTTTTCGTCTGTACCTGTAAACTACTGAGTAAAAAATTTACATTTCCGTAATTTTTTACGTAAAAAATGTCTCTTGGTAAAAATCGCTACTGAGAAACCGTTCTTCAGATATTCAGAATGGAAATAGTCAATACACGTCATTACTAACAAAAAATTAACATCTTGAGTGGATAGTCTTATATACGAACTTTGTTACTTTTTTTCTGCAGAATATGCTGCCGTAGTTTCCCGAGTATAATTCGGACCACCCTGTATCGCATATATCATATAGTAAAAAAACTAGAGATAGTAGAACTAGGAGTGCAGAAAATTAGTTGTTTATTTACCTAGAAATATAATTCTTGGTTCATTCTTCTCGCTGCAGTTTTTATACATGAAGCTGGATAAATCACCATTGTAATAAATTTTATATAAAGTTCACTACACTCACAGGAAACTATTAAAAACCGCTAAAATTGTCGCTGGTGTCGCATCTTTTGTTTGCCACCAAAAAAATGTCGTTCTATAATTTAACATCATGTTACGCGTCCATAAATTCTTTAGACATTGTTTAAAGCACATTTTTTTCGAAATGTTTAATTTTTAAGTCCAATTTATCCAGAAAACTATTTGGTTTTACGAGATATGTGCATATTTAAAGGGTATGAAAAATAAACTCGTTGCCAAACGAGTGCGATGAGATCTCTAGGGGATTTTTTTATTATTTTATCGGCTCCAAATATGTTTACTCTTTTCCTACATTTTTCATTCCGATATAAATTGCATACAGCCAGGATCTCATCCTATCTTCCGGTTTATTTTCGGTACAATTTTATCTAAACTACCTCCATTCATATTGCAATAAGGCCCATTTATATTTCACTTATAAGCTTTATTGAGCATCTAACACCATTACGCAGAATTTTTAGACAATCGATAGTTAAATTTTTGATGAGTTACTGTTTTCCGGAATGGAGTTGATGAAAATAAAACTTTAATAACCACAATAACCTAATTTTACGATTTTATTACAATCGTTCTGGTGTTCCTCGTGTTTTGTCATAGAATTTTAACTATCTATTTAACCTACATCACAAAAGCTTGAGTAGTACTTCACTTTTGTATAAAAGAAACACCGACTCTATGTTTTCAATAAATAAATATAAAACTCGTTGCTTTCTTTGAAAACGCCGCGTATATTGAAACAAACTTTTTATTACACAAAGTATGTAGAATGTAGAATGTTTGGGAGTTTTGGAGTTAACCACTGCAACCTTACAGATCTATTGCGTGTCCCCTTTATAACGATTTATAACTCATCATACAGTCACAGGGCTTTGACTAAAGCCAGTATCTGAAACGGCTTCGCAGAGGATAGTTTTCCATCTCCGATATCAGTCGTACCAAAGTTTATGGCACAAATGGTTGTCGTCTCGGCTTACTCAGTGACGAGGTGTTCTCACATTTTTCCTACAGAATCTGCATTCGCCGTTGTTTCTTAGCTTCAATCTACTGAGGTGTTCGTTGAAGAGGCCTGTTAAAAACCCCGTGACAATCCGAAGATTGTTCTTAAATAAATCAAGGAAAATCTTCGATTTTTTTCGGTCGTAAGTTCTGAGAACTTTTGAAGTGTCTTCCGTTGGAGGATTCCCATTCCAGGTTACGGATGGAGTCTTCCAGGTTCTTCAGTTCCACTTTAAGTTGGTTTCCACTTGGAAGGCCGAACGGCTTTGGTCCAGTTAGTGGAGTGTTGGCTCCTTTTCTAGCTAGATCGTTTGCTTTTTCATTTTTCAAGTTGCCTTCTATCTCTTGGAGAGCTGGCACCCAGAGTAGAACTTTATTTTCTTTGCCTAATTTCTTCAGATTCTCTAGGCATTCTTTGATCAACTTCGAACTGATGGTTAATGAGTTGATCGCTTTTGGTGCTTCTTGACTATTGGATTACATAAAGTATACAGGGTGAATGTTTAAAAAGTAAATAATTTAAGGCTGGTATATTTCGACCTCCGAAACAAGTCTGCCAGGTTTTTTTTTCGTAAAAAAATTGAAACCTTATTATAAATAAGCCACAAAGAGCTGTTCCTTCAACTTCCTAAGATCATGTGCTATGCTAAAACATTTGTGTAAAGTTTCCAGTTTCAACTCCTGCGGTATTAGGACTACATCTTCATTTCCTTCTTTATTGCTTCATTCTTCTACTCCAATTATTTGATTACTTGTCTAAAATATGTGATTCAAGTAGGTTACTTACATTTTCCTGATGAAAATCATTAAATTCCTCTTCAGGCAACTTTCCTAAATCAGCAATTTCTTTAATTTGATCTCTGATACAAAGGACCTGCGCGTGGGTCAATTTCTTGCCATTTCTTATTGTATGTTAGAACTCGACAACTCTTTGATTTGTTAATATGGAATTAATAAAACTGTGTATAAATGAACCGCGTAAAATAAGTCAATGGTGTCAAAAATGTAAACATGTATAAGCGAATCCGTGTAAAACAAGGAATTCCTGTATTCGAAACCTTATCTTTTGACGTCCGTATGACAACAAAGAATCAGAAACTTGCTACTATTTTTTCGAGCATGGGATACTTTGGAGGCAAACTTTTACAATATACTAAAGTGCTTGGCACTATATAAAAAATTCGATATCATTTAAGAAAGTTTTCCGTTAATATGTATAAAACTAAATGCGAGTTAAAAAGTATTAAAGGCGGATACTAAATTAGCTTGTCAACTTTACCTCTCGCTATTAAAAACTTTACTTTTATTTAATGAAGAACCGCAGGTGTTTAATATAGTAAACAGCTTAGTATAAAGACTTAAATTAAATTTGAAACTCCTACCCTAAAATTCGATGTTCTCTTAATATTAAAAACTTGCCACTTAAATGTATCGGTTTAAGACTGTTATTTTTGTTAACTAAATTCCAATTACGTACAGCTAAAACTTTTAGTTAAATTTTTTTCACATTTTAAACCACGAAACTAGATTAGACAGTGATTTGGAGACGCACATTTTGTAAACCACTGGATTTTACGACCATATATTTTTATTTTATAGAGTTTCGTTTTTATCAGGACTATAAAAAGGATCCCTATACTAATCGAACTATGTCATGGCATCAATGCCTCTATGCTGTCTATATTTATACGAATATAAAAATATCTATAGAGAATAGTAATGGGTAAAAATGAAAATCGAAAGAATCTGTACAGGAGTCTCTCGTTTTAAGCCCAATATTCATACGAGGTTTTTATATATGTTTGCATTATCATTTATGTTACGCAGTTTTATTAATTCCATTAGAGAGGCAAGGTAAAATGTAAAAGAATGTAGAATGAGCGGAAAGGGAGTTAATCACCGCCGACCTTAAATATCTATTATATCTCCCCTTTCTTGAGTTATAACTCATCATACAGTGTATAACTCATCATACATAGGGATTTTCCTGTTGTAGGGGGGATAGGGTATTTTCCCATCCTTCTCTGACAACAACTGTTTATCCTCCGAGGAATGGAAATCTACCTCATACGAGAGTATACACACATCCACGGTTGAGGCTAGTTTTCTATTTAGCCACGCATCCCTTTGACCTGGTCAACCTGGTCCCGTCATCATAGAATTTAGGTTTTTGGCGATTTTGTCTCCTCTTGGTCCGGGCGGCTAAACTAAGACCACCCCACACCCTCTACCGGTGATACATGGCCACAGATAGTAAAGGATGCCTGGCGTAACGGACATAGTAGTCCCATCCGGCATCGTTATATGTCTTGGTGCAACTCCCTGGCTACGAAACTACAGCTAAGGATAATACAATATACAATGAGATGATTCTTAGACACAGCCAAAGTGCCAGACGGCCTAGCACCTGTCTAGGAACTTCCCCACCAACGACAAGGTCTCGCATCTCCTAGAGGAAGATAGGAGATGTAACTCAATACGAGAACAAAATCAACGAGTTGTCGAGTTGTAACGTACGATGAGAAACGGAAACATAAATATTGGCTACAAATGGCCAGAAATTGTCCCACGCGAAATATATCAGAAGATTCCTATCCTTCAATAAGAAGAAGAGAGACAGCCGTTCCCACCAAGACAATTAAGCTGACATATACTTTTTATTCTAATTCATTTTAATTAGGCAGTTGATTGTCAACCATCATAGCATACACATGTACTAAAACCAATTTTTTGTAATAAATAAATTTTTTAAAAAAGCATTTCTGAGTGTTCGAGAGTTATTTACTGGGGCTTAAGAATCAAACTAAAGAAAGAAATGAAGATGTAATCCTGGTACCACTTAAAACTCTACACCAATGTCTTACTATAGAATCTTCGAAATTTGAAGAAAGAAGTTTGAACATTAATCAAGGGGTCTTTGTGGCATCGGCATCATCCATATTTTTATATAAATATATATAAACAGTTATGTAATTTTTTTTATGTTACAGTTATACAGTTATGTTAATATAAAGATACATACTTGATTGTAAGAATGTTATTTATAATAAATATGTACCGAATGATCGAAAAAAACGGCGTCCAGTACCAGTGCATAAAAAAAAAATATAATATAATTAACTATTAATTTTCTGGTATGTTTCAGGAATAAATACGGAACTATATTACGTGAATAAAGGAGTGGTGAACGACTATGCTATCAATTTTGTGGTTCTGGTGCCAAAAGATGTCGATACCATCAAATTTTCATGGCAGAGCTTGCTGAATTATTCGGTAAGTGTTGTTCAATTACATTTCTATTTCCCTGTAAGCCGTGGAAGTGCCCTTTTTAAATTTTAGATGTCTTTTTGTCAAAAGTCTGTGGAACTACCTGTCTTAATATCGAAAATTTTTCGATTATTTCCCAGTTAAATTACTTTCCAACTGCTGAAAACAAATTTATAACTAATTAAAAATTTTCCGACTTAATAAGAAACTTTTAAAAATAAACCCGGCATCGAACACACTAAATTCGAATCGAAATTGACGTAAAAAAACTGAAAAAAATCTCTTTAAAAAAGTGTAAATACGTTTTTGGAACAAAACCATTCCATCTGACTACGCAATATTAACTCCGGAGTAAGCTTTTCGATACATTTCTATTTTTGAATTGAATTTTGAGGTGAAATTTCGATAAAACTCTGCCAAAAGCTTTTATAAGCCCGGGACTTGTGAAATACAAAATACAAAACAAATAGAACAAAGAAAATTTAAAATTGCTTTTTTACATTAGGGAAAGTCTCTTCCCTATATAAGTATAAGATTTTTTTCGGGATCTGTCATCCAGTCATTAGATGACCAAAGATAAACTCTCGTAGATTTTAATTATCTTGCTTCCAAAAAACGAAAAGAATAAACAAACTTGCTAGTAATTAAAATTTTTCTGAATAAACATAAGCCGGATGAAATAAAGTTTCACAAAGTATCTGCACCTTGTTTAAAAATATCCAGTGGAGCAAAAGGACCTTTTAAAAAAGGAGTAAGAAAACTTCTTGGTAAATAAGACAAACCATTCCATTTGGCTACACAATTTTACTTCGAACGTAATCTTTTCGATATCTTTGTACAGTATATGAATGCAAGTTTAGGGTAAAATTTTGATAAGACTCCGCTAAAGCCTCTACAAAGCTTCGTCAAGTGTTTTCGTATTTTTTAAAACACAATTTGCTTGGAGAAGAAACGAAATTTAATTTGTGTTGCAGGTTGTTTGGTAAAAATAAAAAAAATGAAAAATTTTCATTTCATTCTCCGAGAGAGCTAGAAATATTACAAAAAATCCAGAGAACATCTATAAAAGGCAGTTTAATATGAAACTCTATTTGTTTTACCCGTTAAATTTGTTCAAAAATGCACAGAAAAGTGAATACGTTCAATATTTACGGCATAGACGAGCAAACAATATTCATTTAAAATTCCACAGACGATTAACAAACATCTAGAAAAATATGGTTGAAACGTTTTTTTAATTTAAAGGTTTTAAAAATTTATCAACGGAGGTAAACCACACGAGCGTTCCAGGGTGTAAACCAAAATAGTAAATAAAACTAGAAGTATTCCGCCTTGATGTGATATGTGACTGGAATAGTTCAAAACGAAATCGTTCTCTAATGAATTAAGTAATTGTTAACAGGTAGTAATTGTTAGTTAGAAGTTTGACTTCATATATTGTCATTTTAACTTTTAACAGACCGGCAAAGGTTTATAATAGACGTGTCTGCTAAAACGTTAAAGTGTTTTTGAATAGATATAAAGATATAGATAAAATAGATATATTTATTTGTGTGTATATTTTTTGCTTCTGAGGACGGGAGGTGATATACCTCTAGCAACGATAATATACCACTGACAATTTTTTTTGGATCAACGCTGTGGTGTTTACTAAAAATGACTTTTTATTTTGTAGATTTTCTTCTAGTGGCAAAAAAAAACAGAACGCTTTTCAAGATCTATGAACATATCTGTGCGTTTTTTTTTCGGTGTATTTTATATCGTTGCTGGTTTTTATCTATGGCCATAAAAAGGGAGTTTGCCGTTTTAGTTCAATTTCATTCCCTAATAAATAAAATGGTCGTTCCGCATTTACAAAGGGCATAAACCAATTTTATTTTTTATTTATCCGTCGCGGTCCTGAATTAGTTTATAGCTCAATTATTAGAAAATGTATTTGCTTTTGAACCGGTGGTGTGTAAAAAAAGTGTTAATTAACTAAATAAATCCATATTCGCGTACGAATAATTTAGCTTTAAGCGTTTCCAGAACATAACATTATTTTACTGACTCAGTGGATTGTTAAATCTTTCAGAAAATAACCTCCACAATGAGACAAATTGGAAAATTTGTCGTGAGATTACATTTCCAATACCTTTTTGCTCGTTTTGCGAAGACACCAAGAAAATATCACTTTCCACGGATTTTCCTCAAATGAACAAGTGCAAGAAATTTCTCTCCCTAATTAAAACTTTTTTTGCGAACTATACGCTCCTTTAATATTGAAGAGGTAAAAACAAAAATCCAAGAAAATGCACAGATAATAGTAGTACATATTTTCAAAATAAATCGAAAAAGACAAGGCCGAAGAAAACCATTTAATATTCATTAAATGAACTTGATATCTATCCAAGAAAAATGAAGAAGATATAGCGAACTATTCTTTTAGTTCTTTCTATCTTTTTTCTGTGTTGAACTAAATTTATGATGTTTAAAGAGAAAGGCTTTCGAAAAGATTATTTATTACTTCCGACGAATGAAAGCAATGTAGCGAATTTATAGGACACAGTCTTATAGATAGAGCTTTTTTGAAGAAGGGTGCATCATAAATGTAATTCGTATATAAGGTATTGTTTTCCTTTCGGTATAGGAGATACTATCGAGATCTATTTCTTTACTTCGAAAAAACAAACGTTTTGAGTTTATTTACTATTTAAAGATTAAGATCTTCCCTTTTTTACTTCAGCCATGCACTTCTGATTTTGTAGTTTCGAATAGGTATGTTCTTTTCCAAAAAATATATCGATATTTTACTCGATATTCTCGATACTAAAAATACACTTATCGAATATTTTTAATCCAGACACTTCTATTTCCTTCATCATATAGTGCACCCTATAAAGACTATTGTAGTATTTCAGGGGTCATTAATCTACTCTTTTTTACTTTATCTATTCACTTGTGTGTTTGTAGTTCCGAAGAGGACTCGGTTTCTTTTCAAAAAATATATCGATACTTTGGTATATTTTAATTCAGGTCTATCGAGTTCCTTCGCGATAAAGTGTATCCTATAAAATGCAATTATTGTAGTATGTCTGCTCTATTTTACTTTAACTATTCATTTCTGATTTTGTAGCTTCGCATAGGGGTATGTGTTTTCAAAAAAAAAATATCGATATACTTTGGTATATTTTTAATCCAGGTCTATCGAATTATTTCGTGATACAGTGCATCCTATAAGTTCAATGTAGTATATCTGCTCTTTTTTACTCTATATATTCACTTCTGTTTTTGTAGCTCCGAATAGGAATGTTACTTTTAAAACAAGATATCGATACTTTGGTATATTTTAATTCAGGTCTATCGAGTTCCTTCGTGATAAACTGTATCCTATAAAGTGCAATTGTAGTATATCTGCTTTTTTTTACTTTGACTATTCATTTCTGATTTTGTAGCTTCCCATAGAGATGTGTGCTTTCAAAAAAAAATTATCGAGACTTTGGTATATTTTTAATTCAGGTCTATCAAGTTCTTTCGTGATACAGTGTATCCTATAAAGTGCTACTGCAGTATATCTGCACTTTTTTACTTTAACTATTCATTTCTGATTTTGTAGCTTCGCATAGAGGTATGTGTTTTCAAAAAAAAATCGATACTTTGGTATATTTTAATCCAGGTCTATCGAATTATTTTTAATCCAGGTCTATAAGTTCAATGTAGTGTATCTGCTCTTTTTTACTCTATATGTTCCCTTCTGTTTTTGTAGCTCCGAATAGGAATGTTTCTTTTAAAACAAGATATCGCTACTTTCGTATATTTTTAATACAGGTCTATCGAATTCTTTCGTGATACAGTGTACCTTATAAAGTGCATTTGTAGTACCTATATCTGCTTCTTTCTTTCATTGCCATAGCTTCGAACTTTTTTTGAAAAAGAAAAAAATAATGAAATAGAAATTACAAGTATATTTCTTTAGACAACATCAAACGAATTATAAAATATATATTCAACGGTAACATAAAATAGGGCCGAAATGAATTTGTGGAGCGGCGGGATATTTCGTATAAGCCTACAAAATAAGAAAGCCAGCAGGGGGAGCAAATCAAAGACTTGCCATTTTCTAAGAAAGCACACTTGAACGATTACTAATTAGACGTTTAGGGCGTAACTTAGGGGGCCCTAACGTGTCAAAATTACAACTGAACAACAAACAGTTTCGAAGTAATACGAATGCTTTATATTTTAAAAGTTAGCAAAACGCCGCTGCCCTTTCAAGGCTTAGGTAATTTTCTAGAAACATTTTTACATAGCAAAACGGCGATAAAAACTTTAATGCTCGAACATAACAATAAAAGGACCAACAGTTGTAGTTTTTGGCAAGGTTTTATCCCATAAAATTGCTTATAGTTTAGTCATGAGAAAAAACGTTTATGAGATGTATATATCTTTTATAGTTCCCGTCGCGATACTTTCACAAACACCCTTCCTCTTAATATATCCTCCCTTTTTTTGTTTAAATTAGAAACAAAGAGGGGTCATTAAAATAACATTTAAAACTATATTTTATAAAGGTAGGTCATTATTTTATCGTTATTCTTACAGAGAACGTTTTTTAATATGCATCCCTCAAAGTGTAGAATAACAAGAAACAGGAGCCTCATAAATAATTTTCTTTGTCTCGAAAAAAGGCAAACAGTTTGTTCCAAGGGAGTTAAATATTTAGAATAAACACCACTGCTAACTAAGATTTAATTTTAAGTGTATTATCGTTGAAGGGTGACGTTGATACGGGAAGGGAGCGTATAAAGAAAATATAAGGGCTCCTTTTAATAAGCCCCTTGCCAAGTTACAATATCTGAGAAATCAGATAACATCCCCGTTTTATTCCGGAGGGATTTAAAGACAAATCCGGACACTTCGGTGACAACTAACAAGTTTAATTGAATGCCAAACATTCCCAATTTCCGAATAAATTCTCTAATTTACTGTTGTTTTCGAGTTCGGTAATTTTTTACACTTTCAGGGTC